TCCTGATATGGTTGCGCCCTAGCTTCTGTGTCTCTAACAACCCACAGACATTCTCATCTTCATAACATCAGAGAAAACAGCTCATCAAATCAACCGCAATGCTTTATCCCACCTGATACAATCAGCAACACATTAAGATCAAGCACAACTTGGAAACTGACCACCTGTGGTAGTCACTAGTCTATCACCCTTAAATCATTTGAATTAAATTGAAATCAAGAAGCAGTCCAGAACATGTCTGCAGTGAACACAATTTCACTATAGTGTATTTACCATTTAATGGCTCAGACAGAGCGAGGATGCAAGTCCCCTGGTCTCAGTTAGCTGATGGCTGAACCCCATGACACTGTCTGACCTCGGGCTGCAAGGCCCAGATTGAGTTCCCCAACCTTCTGAATGGTTGAACTCCACAATGTTCTATTACAGGTTTCCCACGCCCTTTCTTTAAAGATGTTCAAAGTTGGGAACTCAGAAAAATGCCCCTGATGACCACCTCTGCCTCTGCATAGTGGGTCCAAAGACTGGCACAATCAGGAGGTCTGAGAGTGTGTGTGGGGGCACTTATGGGGGTTCAGGGGTGCCCACGCGGCTTCCTTCCTGGTGCTTGAGCGATGGTGGCTGGATTGGGAGCAGGCATGGCTCTCCTCAGGACATGTTTATTTATAACAAATATAAGTCAGTTTCTAAACAAACACTGAGCTCTTAAGAATCTGGAGATGCGCTTGTCTCTGTAGGGTATACTGGCATCTGTAAGTCATGGTTCCTGCCCACTTTTCATTCATCAGCTTGAGCTCTTCCACAATTTGTTTTTTTTTTTTTGGTACCAGGGATCAAACTCGGGTGCTTGCGCTTGTGAGACAGGCGGTGGAACCACTGAGCTAAATCCCCTGCCCTCTTCCACGAAGTTTTGAACCTTTATTCAGAATTGACTTTTCCTCTAAGCTCATATCATACTGTTCTTCATTTATAAATTTGTTATAGCATTGGTCACATTCTGCTTTTCATTCATGCGCATTATCTCTTGCTGTATTAACAAGCTTCTTTAGATATAAAATGGAGACATTGGGATCAGCTGAACCATCCGTCCAAGCTTAGGGTTCTTTGTAAAATACTTTGGGGAAACTAAAGAGAATGCATGTTTCCTATCAACATTCCTACGGCAGAAACTTGTTCAGTACCTGTTCAGTAAAAAAAATAACATTGTGTGTTCGAGAAGTGAGTATACCATTACTCACTAGGCCTCATTTGCTGTGGCAGAAACATTGAAACAATCTCAATCTAAAAGGTTTTTTTTTTAAACCAGGGATCAAACTCAGGACCTTGAGCTTGCAAGGCGGGCATGGCACCATCGAGCTAAATCCCCATCCCTCTAAATGGTTAAATATTGTTCAGCACATTTCTACACTAGAATGTTTTGCACTTGTTGAAAAGACTGAGGCAGATCTATAAGAACCCTACAGAGCAATCTTCAAGATAGAGTGGTGAGATGCAGAACGATGTATATGCTAATATTTGTATTTAAATGTATGAACAGTGCATGGTGTGTGTATAGAATATTTCTATGGGGATATAAAAGAATTTGGTAAGAGCAGTTGATGATTAGGGCAGGGAACGGGGATTGGGACAGTGGTCAGTTGATGAACTAGCTCTCTTGGAATCAAGAGTCCTATATAGAGAGCTTGATCATTTCTGTGCCATGAATATCCCCACCATGTCAATTTCAAGCTAATGATTGTTTAACAATAGGTGTCCAAAATTCACTTGGCTCCAATAAGCTGATTTTGGTTAGTTTCAAAGCATACCACCAGGCACAGGAGTGAGGGGTGATTGAGTTTCTACTGTAGGCCTTTTAGTGCAATTTAAATTTCTTGTGCTGTATTTGATCATTTAAAATGAAATAATAAGATTTTAAAGTTAGAAAATTATTATGCTTAGGCTCCTATATTCCTTTAGTCCCTTCTTAAAGATAGTCATAGTTTTTCTTGATAATACTTATTCTGCTCTCCTGTACTTGTTCAGTCTTTTTGAGATTCAATACTTAATAACAATAGTTAATATTTATAATGTCTTCATGTGTAGGAAAGGCAGTTATGTCCTTAGTATTGAAGCTGCAAGAATGTTCAGACTAGGAAAAATCACCCTCAAAAATGAGCCAGTGGTTGGAGGAAAGATCGCCTCTTTAATATTTGATTCTGGAAAAGCTGCTTTCTTCATGTTGAACATTGAACCTGGACACGTATCTTTTACCATGCACGAACCAAAAATCAAAATGGATCAAAGCTCTAAACATTAAAATGGAAATGCTAAATCTGCTGGAACACAGAATAGGTAGAACGCTTGAGGACATAGGAGTAGGCAAAGACTTCATGAACTAACCCCAGACCGATGGGAAGTACTACAAAGGATCAACAGCTAAACCTCATCTTATTAAAAAGCTTTTGAATAGCAAAAGAAATCATCACACAACCCACAGCATGAGAAGATATTTTTACCACGTATTCAGATAAAGGACTATTATCTAGAATATATAAAGAACTAAAAGAACCAGACCTCCCCCAATTTAAAGACCCAACCCAAAAATGGGCATCTGAAAAGACACTTCTTAGATGAAGAATTAGAACTGACAAGCAAGTATATAAAAAAATGTTCAACATCACTGGTTATTCATGAAATGCAAATTGAAACAATGCTGAGATTCCATCTCACTCCAGAAAGAATGGCTGCTATTAAGAAATCAACCAATAACAAATGATGGAAGGGCTATGGGGGAAAAGGAAACTTTCTGCACTGTTGGTAGGAGTGTAGACTGGTACAACCACTGTGGAAATCAGTGTTAAAACCAGAGGTTCCATTTAACTCAACTATTTTTCTTGGCACCATCCCAAAAGAATTAAAAACATCATACCACAGTGGTATATGCACACCCATGTTTATAGTGGCACAGTTTATAATAGCTACATCTTGGAAACAGCCCAAATGCCCATCAACTGATGGATGAAAATGTGGTTTATACAGCGGAGTAGTGCTCTGCCATAAAGGATGAGCTTCAGACACTTATAGCTAAACGGATGTGCCTTGAGGCCATACTCTTAAGTGAAATAAATTGGACATACATGTTTAAATACCTCATTATTTCTCTGGTGTGAGAAACCGACAGTGGAAAGGACTAAAATGTATAATAGATATTGGGAAATGGGAAGAAAGTGTTCAAATGGGAAGGGGAACGAGGGAGGAGGGAGGGAGAAAAGATGGGACAAGAAAAAAAGTAAAAATAGAAGAAACAAATGGAAACAAAGCTTTTGTACATAGGGAAGGGAAGGGTTATTGGGGAGGGAGGGGAAAGGGATAAAATAAAATTTGTTTAAAAAGTAATGAGCCAGTGGTATTGGGGCATACAGCTTAGGTGCAAAAACTCAGTTTCCTGTATCATTATTTAATAATATGTGAGGTTCCTAATTTTTAGTGGTTCAGGGTTTTAAATATATATGCAAACTCTGCAAACATTAAGGAATGTATGTTTTAAGCTAAAAAGAAAAACAAAACTGTTTCCTAGCCTCTATGCAGGTGTGGCTCCTCAAAGTCAAGGTGCCTACCTGGTGGCAGGTCTTCTCTGTCTCAGGAGCCCAGCCTAGAGGGAGGGAACTGGCTGCAGTGGAGTCCTGCCTCATTCCACCTTAAATACACCTTCTCCTGCCAGTGTAAGGCCCAGTCAAGAGGGAGTGGAGTCCCCAAGCACTGCCAACTCCAAAAACGCATTCTCAATTCACTGAAGAAGGCATTCTGTACCAATCCCAGAGTCTGTCTTTATGACCAGAGTCCCTGTGTTTGAGAATTCATGGCTCCACTTTCTTCACTTAACCAGCTGCTATTTATCCTTCGTGTTTTAGCTAAAACATTTCCCTCATTAGTTTCCTGCCATAGGCTTACATCTCACCTTGCCTTCTATACCATGTACAGCACCTTTCATTTTAATTGTGCAACATGTGTTTTTCCTGATCAACTGCATATGATGCTGGTCTCATTTATTTATGGCACATTCCTAAAACCATGCACATTGTTTGGCTTATATTAGGCACTGAGTGCATGTCACTGGAATGAAAGAGTGGGTTATAGTACACTGTTATCGAACGTTCATAAGGAAACATCCAGAGACGCTTGATCTTGGGAACATTTTATTTGGAAAGATTTTGAGCATTATTTTATCTTCATTTCCAATAACATTCTTCCTTCCTTAAGGCAGATGGGGAAAAATCATCTAGGGCTATATGAAGTTCAGGCTACAGTCAAAGCAAACTACTTTGCATTCAGATGCAGCAGAAATACTGGTTATGAGCTGAAAGGAGCCATATATTAACTTCCTGAGCCCAATGCTAAGGAATGGATCCAGGCAATGCATTGCAATTGCTGTAAAAAATGGCTAAGTTCCATTACATAGGACCCCTAAAGAAGATACCTCACTAATGAGCCCATTTACCAGGACTTGGAATCTAGCGTTGGATCACAATGCTCTGCTGCTTTTTTAGCCTTTGGTACATTCTTCTAGAATTGTTTGAAAGTTTTTAAATGTCAAGGTAATTAGCTCCTCCTAAGGAAGTTTGTTGTTGTTGTTTTGCTTTTTGAGACAAGGTCTCACTATGTAGTTGAGACTGACCTGGAACTCACTATGTAGCCCAGGCTGGTCTCGAACTCACAGATCCTCCTGTTGTTGTTTTGCTTTTTGAGACAAGGTCTCACTATGTAGTTGAGACTGACCTGGAACTCACTATGTAGCCCAGGCTGGTCTCGAACTCACAGAGATCCTCCTGTCTCAGCCTACCGAGTGCTGGGATTACAGGCGTGCACCACCACACCCGGCAAAAGGCAGTTCTTATCCAGCATAAGTTCATTCACCTTTGACTTCTGGCTAGGGGTGTGTGTGTGGGGGGAACAAAGGTGCTGTTAATTGGCACATATTGTCCCCTGGAGCAGAGGGGTGGCAAAGCTTTTGCAGTACCAAAAAAGGTAAACATTGATCTTATGGCCTGGCAGCAATCACATAAGCTGATATTGAAGAACAAATGAAAGCTGAGAAGGAAGCTCCCAAATGTCACAGGTATTTAGCCATGTCACGGTAATTACATCTAAGGAGCAAGGCTGAATACATGGAGGCAGCACCGTGAAGGACAGGCGCTTAGGGACAGCTCCACACTGCCCCTTCGTGGCTTTCTTTTCTATTACAACTTCCAGTCTTCTGCCAGAGTTGTTAATCTACCTGAGGGTGTTCAAGGTGCTACATCTGGCCTGAGACTAAGTTGTAGATTTAAAAACAGAGGATTTCTTACTTAATAAAAAAAGCAAAAGAAAACTGATGACATTTGGGACCTTGGTTCTGAGGAAAGGCCTTGATGATGAGGTTTACTTCTGTATGCTGCCGGAGACACCCGGCTCCTCAACAGCCCGACTGACTCATCAGGATGCTCCAAGGGGCCAAGGAGGATGGCAGGAAAACGTGGGCCACAGAGCAGGCATGCTTCGAAGAGGGAGTGGGGCCAAGTCACTGGGAGACGAGGCAGGAGAAAGGGGTAGAAGAGGCTCGTAAAAGATCATATATCAGCCTCAGTCAACAGGTGACAAGACAGGTTCATGATCCCCTCTTCGTGGTCTGCATGTTGAATGAAGAAAAAGGTAGCCAAATGTAACCAGTCTGAAAGATTAGGTCAAGTATTAACACTGCAGTTTCTATCCTAACTGCAAAAGCAGAAAGGGTGCCTGGAAAATAACTTCTTTTTATTTTCTTTACATTTTCAGAGAAGGAAAAAAAAATCAAGAATAAAAAAATATTTATAGGAGCCAAGGTCTTCTGAAAAAAAGTAAGCGTTTTCTGTTAAGTACAGGAGAGGCTACTTGGCTGAGTGAATACGCACTTTTTGGAGTCTTGTATAATGTCACCGAGTTGAGAACTTTGGAATGGCTTGAATGGTCCTCATGCACCCTGGGTGGGGCCCTCAGGATTCAGTGTGTTGACATCTAGCCTGCCTCACGGGGCCTTATACTCTCTTCATCCCTTTCCCCATGAGGCAAGCGAACACTGTCATGACCATTTTGGGGTTCACTTCAACCAGGTCTTCCGGAAGAGCATACACTCTTGCTCCAATTTTCCTGGCCATAGAGATGGCATACCTGAAAGGGAGAAGAGAAGACAATGAAGAAGTGTCTGAAGATCAGTGTATGAAGCGGATCTCCCGACCATGGTTACACTCATCCTGCGGTCAGGACAGAATGCAGGCATGGGGTCACTGGTGACCGCCACGGGCATCCTCCCAACTTCACAGACCCAACAAAGGGCCGGTGTTACCATCCAGCCTCAAAACAGTGAACAATGGCAGCATTTGTCCTTGAAACCCTCCCTAGCTCCTGCCGCTATTTATACCCACACCAGGAATTTTTCTGTTTGTTTTTAAAGACAGGAATGCTCTGTGCAGTTTCAGCTGTCCTTGAACTCACTGCGCAGGTAGCCAAGGTTGGCCTCGAACTCACAAAGATCCTCCTGCCTCAGGTCCTGAATGCTGGATTATAGGCCTGCACCACCATGCCTAACAAGGAGTATTCTCTTGAGCTATACAGCATGGCAGAAAAATAATCTGAGAACTGAGTAAGAAGTTATTCTAGAAAAAGCTTGCAGACTATATTTCAACTACAGAATCCTTTTCATAGAAAAGAAGAAAATGTATCTGTAATACAGTAAGCTCACACATCATTTCTTTTATTCCTTAATTCATTCCAATCTGTGTCCACATATACATGTGTTTATATTACATTAGAATATTAGAATAGCAAGCTTTATATTCTGTATTTTTCATATAAATTATGATAGCTATATTAGATACCTTTGTTTTAGTGACAGTTACACAAAGATAATTTTTATTAGTTGTAATCCACTTTAAAATGAGCCCAAAATACTTCCTGACAGTTCTTCTATTCACCTCACTTGTTCTCTAGCAACCTCTTACTATGGTTACTCCGGAGATTTTCCACCCTACCGAAGGCCCCATTCCTTTCTCCTGAAAAACTTTACTCTTTCTTTATTGATGAAATTAAATGAAGAACGTCAGGCGGGAATAATCCTATTCTTTTCTTATGTCCACTGCTCAGTCATTAGTGGAGTAATGTTGATTTCATTATACAGTGTAGAGGAGAATTACATACAACTCCGGAAGTAAACTTTGGAATAAAATCACAGGCAGTCAAAATTTTGCACCTTGCCCTCATGGGAGAGTCCGTAGGAGCCTGGGCTGTGAAATCAGACTCTGGGTCTCAGCTGCACAGCTTATGACATTGGCAAATGCCTTAAACCTAATCACACCCCTTTGACCAGCAGGATTGAAGGTTTTTCATTTTTTTTAAAAAACCTTCGGAGTCCTTCCCATGTGTTCTCTGGGCTGATGTTCTTCCTGTGTCATCCGCCTGTCAATCTCCCTCTCCTTGTCCTCTCAATCTAGCTTGGTTTAGATGGTATTTGCTGTAGAGCTTCCATGGTGTCCTGTATTCCCTCTGCCTTCTGCATCATCCCTCACACTACTGTAATTCCAGTTTAATGATTTATCCTCTCTCCATTGGATTGTGCTAAATATCCACACACTTTCCAAAATCAGGAACGGAGAGAATGGCATAGTTGGGATTCTAAGGCAGGGATGCCGGGGACCAGACAGTTACCGATTCTAGGCTTTTGTACGGGTTCAGTTGTGTCCCTTCCCCCAAAAAGTTATGTTGAATTTCTAAAGCCAAGTACCTTCAGTTGTGACTCTATTTGGAAAATGGGAAATTGCAGATGTAATTAGTTAAGATGAGGTCATGCTGGAGTAGGATGGGCTCTAATCCAACACAGCTGGCATCCTCAGAAGAAGACGAAAAGGGCCATGGGAGGAGAGAGCCATGTGAAGGCAGAGGCATGTGGTAAGACAGTGGCAGAGACCAGAATGATGTATCTGCAAGCATGTAAATGTCAAGGGTCACTGGCCCTAGAGCAGCTCGGAGAGAGCACGGGACAGGTTCTGCCCAGAGCCTCCAGGAGGAAGCAGCCCTGTTGACAGTGTTGATTCCAACTTCCAGCTTCCACAGCTGTGAAAGTGCTAACTTCTGTTGTTTCAACCGCTCAGTCGATGTGGTACCATGTAAAGGCAGCCCTGGGAAACTGAGAGGACCTGCTCTGAGGAAGGTGTCTCTAGGACAGAGGCTGGTTAACTTCTTCTTCTTCTTTTTTCTTTTTGGTTTTTTGAGACAGGGTCTCACTATGTAGTTGAGACTAACCTGGAACTCACTGTGTAGCCCAGGTTGGTCTTGAACTCACAGTGATTCTCCTGCCTCAGCCTCCCGAGTGCTGGGATTTCAGGCATGTGCCACCACGCCAGGCTAAAACTTTATTTATAAATGTAGGCTATGGGCCTGATCTGGCTCAGAGCCTACAGTTTGCTGACCTTCATTCTAGAGGAAACATTGAGGAAAAAAAAAAAAAACAACCAGGATTTTAAGCCAGAATTTTAAGTTCAAATTCCAGCTCTACCCCTTCGCAGCAAGTCACTCAACCTCAGAAACTCCTTCTACTCACCTTGAAATTACCATTAAATGTGGAGACTAGAGGTGATAGAGCATGCACTTGGCATATGTGAGAGGCCCTGAGTTCAATGCTCAGCAGCAGTACATAAAATGCTGTGTCAGTGAAAAAATAATGTGGAGACCTAAAGTGGCAGTGTGTGACAGCTGTTCTCCAGCTGTGAAGACTCGTGTGAACTTGACCCTGCCTTCCATTTTTTATCCACAGATTCATGAATGGTGTGCTTATATTTGGGCTTTGCCATGCACACGCTTCATTTTGGAAATCTCCTATAAATCAGGGTTAGGAAATTGGTCTTAGGAGACCATAGAGTTACTTAGGAATTACAAGAATATTCCTGGATTTTGTTTCGCTCTCATTCTAACACAAAGAACTTTAACCGGCACTTGTACCACATGTAATGTGATGTTAATGAGAAAAGCAGGAATAGTGAAAAGAAAGTACCCAACATCATGAGCACCAGACTTTGCAACACCCAGCTGCCAGCCGGCTCTTCCCCCTTATCTCAGGTTTATTCACTTACTTTGCATTGTTGAGCTTCTCTTCATCATCCAGGCTTTCTGTCTTCAGAAGCTCATAGTTAATGGAGCCTGGCTGGATGGCATCGATGAGGTCCAGAACGGGAAGACTTGTACTAATCTTCGGGTCCTACATCAAAAGAAGTGGGGGAGGCTTTGTCAACAAGTCCCAAGGTTATTTCTGTTCTTCTTCTTTAAGATGAAATGTATACATCCTTGTCTGGCAGTGCCACAATATCCTACATGGCGTTTCAAATCCACTGTAGTTTTTGCAGGGCTACCAGTAACTGCAGAGAAAACTTACTCTCTGCCAACAGCAGGAGGCATTCTTAAATAATCAATGGAAGGAAGCTAACACAACTAGAGAAAAACATAAAGGTCGGAAGACATCTTTTACCTGCTGTTTACGCAGTAGAGTAAATGAAGGAATGACTTAAAATGAAACCGTCAAGCTGGGCACGGCGGTGTACTCCAGTAACCCCAGCACCCTGGGTGTCTGAGGCAGGAGGATTGCAAGTTTCAGTCCAATGTGGGCAAGTTAGTGAGGCCCCATCTCAAGGAGGGGGCAGTAAGAGGGGGATGGGGGATATAGATCCGTGCAAAGGCCCTGCATCCAATCTTTAGGACGGCAAAGAAAAATAAATAAAAACAAAAACACATAACATAAGGAAGAAGAGACTAATGATGTCAGAAAAACCCACTTCCCACGGGGAGCAAAGTGAGTGACAGGTGAGGAGGGTGCCAGGGGACAGGAGAACCAACGGATGCCCTTTTCCTGGAGGCTTTAGGGAAACAAAACGGCCACTGCCAGGGAAACAGCAAGAGCAACGATGTGATTAAAAAAAACACAGTAACTAGGACTTGCTGGTGCCTCACAGTTGCCCAGTGCTGTCTCACAGGTTATCTCGCTTGATTGTCACCATAAATCTAATCTTCTGGGGGGGGTGGAGCTCTACTTTGTTTTTTTATTTGTTTGTTTTTTTCACTGACACAACATTTTATGTACTGCTGCTGAGCATTGAACTCAGGGCCTCTCACATATGCCAAGTGCATGCTCTATCACCTCCAGTCTCCACATTTAATGGTAATTTCAAGGTGAGTAGAAGGAGTTTCTGAGGTAGAGCTGGGATTTGAACTCTAAATTCTGGATTAAAATCCTGGTTTCTTTGCATTTGATGTTCATGTCTACACTACGAATGCACCTGGGGTGTGAATCACAAACCTCTACGTCATGTGTTCTTTTGTCTCCTGCTCAAGGAGAGGACCATAGTCCTGGGGACCTGGGAGTGCAACTTTGTGTCCCCAGCAAGGCACGGTGAGGGGTGATCACACTTTCAGGAACCGAATCAGAATAAATTCTTAGCAAGAAACAAGATCCAGGAGCCAGATCAGGTGCTAGTTTTTCAAAATCAGTCTTTCTGTATAGGTAGAATAATAGTTTTTAATAACTACCATTTTGATTTATGCTTGGATAATAAAAGAAACACTGCAAAATTAAAGCCAAGGTAGAATCACAATCTAATTTCCTTATTAGCTTTGGCTTCCATCTCCACAGAACCTTTTGAGGAAGAACAAGGGAAAGCAAACTGGGGAGACTGAAATCTTCCTTCCTGCTTCTGGCCCACGGTGTCAAGGAGGTGCTGACAGTCAGAGAAGTGGCTGCACCTGGGAGCAGAGACGGACGAGGGACCAGGATTGTTTCCAAAAGGAACACAGTTACAGCTGACCTCACAGTGTCCGTGAAGAGGAACTTATGAACAAAGCTCCTGGTACTCAGAGTAAATTGGTATTTGGGGCTCCTTCTGGCTTTTCTTTCTGGAAGGATCTGCTCTCTTCAGTCACCAGCCTCCACTCCCACCTCTGGGTCTGCAATGTGGACTGAGCAAAGGCAGTCATGAGGCAGAGCAAAGGTGGCCACTGTCTGGCCAGCTGGTAGCTGGTGGATATACCTGAGACAGCCCTACCCAGATCCACCTCTGCCCTTCCTGACAGGGAGAGGTTTTCATTTTTTTCCCTTAATTTTTAATCAGAGGATTGATATCATGATGCACCACCACACTCACCCTGCCAGGGCATCTCTGAAGGGGTCCCTCATTTTTATAGTTAAGAGATACAGACACTATTATAATATGGGTCTAGTATGGGTGAGTTAAGAAATTTAATAAAATATAATGCTGTTATTAATAAAAGTAGGTTTTGGATACATAGCACAATTGGTTTTTGTAAAACATCACATGGGAGATCTTTTAGCATTTTAGATTTCACCATTAGAATGTTCAAAATCTAAACCATGGAAGTGTGTGCCTACTTAAGAAATATCTCGTGTCACTTTTGTTTTAATCTCATGTTACTTTGAAAGAACAAGGTCTACAGCGAAGTGTTTAAAATAATGGCTTTTAAAAATGAAGAATTATGGGAGAAAGTGGAGAGTAATTTGCCAGTGAAATGGCCAATGAACATCAAAACTACAAATGGGTCATTTTTTAAAAAGTCAAAATGGGAGGGGGAGCCTGGATTCTAACACTGAAGCTCATTTAACCTATAAGGAAAACAATGAGGATAAGCACAGAGCTCAAGTGGCCTCTAACAGAAGACTAGAAATTTTACCTTGAAACTAGAGATGGATGAACTCTTCTCTGCTTCCTTCAGTGTTTCATTTACCCAGCTGATGATAATGTCATCATTGACCTTCTGCCCACCACCTATATCTTCGAGGATATTCAGTGTGTACCTGAATCAAATCAAGAATGATTTCTGGAGATTAAGTTGCTGTGGCATTTAAGAGGGTAGAAATTTTCTTTTCTTTCTAGGTATGTCACAGAAGATCATCTGAACACCATTACACGGGAGGGGTGTAATAACACTACATTCTTTTATAATAAGTTTAAAAGGAAACATGATTGTAAAAGTGAAAAGCAAAGCAAATACCTTCTTTAAAGCACTGGTCAGGAGGAACAAGCAGAAGGAAAGAAATGTGAGAAATGGAAAATGAATCAAAGGACTCCAACCAGTGATACTACGCTTAAAGGAATCATACAACTCAAGAAACAACTCCATGTTTGAACAGCCCCAAAAGTGACAGGATAAAGGGAAAATACAGAGGGATTTATTAAATAAAAATGTTAGAAATACTTTAGCCCAAAGGTAAGATATACGTTAGAAACATCCTTAGAATTGTTGATTTTTTTTTCTTTCTTTTTTTTGAGACAAGGTCTCACTATGCAGTTCAGGCTGCCTTTGAACTCTCTGATCCTCCTGCCTCAGCCTCCCAGGTGCTGAGATTATAGGCTTGCACCACAATGCCTGGCTAGAACTTGTGATTTTTAAAGAGAACATTTATTAAGAAGATTCTTCAAGGGATGGGTAGGGGAAGGGTAATAAGGGAAAAGAAAAAAATGTGAGATAATGAAAAGATGAAAATAAAGTGTTTGTAGGTGGGGAGGGGACGAGGCGGTGAAGGGAGGGCTAGGGTAAGGGGAAAAAATGAGAATCAAGACTTGTCATGTAGAGGTACAAGATCCCAACAATGAATGTAACTGTACTGTATCCCTAAAATGTACCAATAAATTCAAAGCTGAAAAAAAAAAGAAGATTCTTCAACCCTTATAATTTTACAGAGCAGAGATGAGCTACCATTCCCTCATTCCCTCAGGCTACTCCTTTCTGGAAAGGAAGAGAGGCAGAAGTTGAACCACATGTAGGTTTGTTGACCTCCTGGTTCAGGTTTGTGAGAGCAGACAAACTGCTCATGAAAGACCTCCAAGGGCTAGAGTTACAGCATGCTATTCTCAAACTGAGACTCAGGAGGCCCATGACTGAGCCTCCTCTGTGGGGCCTCCCTAAATGAGGTCACCTCTTTGTGAGTGCCCCAGGAGTTTTCTTACATAACACAGTGACTATCTTCCTCCAGTTACTGCCTCTAAACAAAGCCCAATTCTCCCGTGATTTTCCACACAGATGTCAAGTTTAATCCCTGAAATAAGAGCAACGTCTCACTTCTGTGTTAAAACAACTTCCCAGGATTATATGTAGAGAGCAAAAATGCCCTCTGCAACTTTTTCTCATGAGAAAAATCACACTTACTAAACCAGTACTTACATTGGCTCAAAGATACCTCTCAAGTCTCCCCAGATCAACTTATTTCTCTTCATTCTATTTTTCCTCCTTACAGAATTTCTCTTCCACAGTAAAGTTATAGTCCTGTCATTCAAAGTGAATGGGCCTCTCTATGGCCCAAAGAACACAGGTCAAACTCTTTCATGTGGCTTATAAGCCCTTCTTAATTTGGCTCTGCTGTCCTTTTTCAATACATCTCCAATTTGTTTTCTCCCCCCTACATACACACATATACACACACTCATGTTTCAAACATACAGAACCATCAGGAACTCCTAAACAACCATACATCTTCCTACCTCCCATTTCTAGGACTTAACTATGCTTGCTTCCTGCGATATCCTTTGCCTCTAGTGAATTTCAAATCTTCTAAATAATTCTCAGCTCAAGAAGTATATCAATGATTATTGCTAACTCTGTTTAAGACACTTTCCCAGAGTTTTGCTTTATTTATTTATTTTTTGGAGACAGGATCTCACTGTGTAGTTGAGACTGCCCTGGAAATCACTGTGTAGCCCAGGCTGGTCTTGAACTCACAGCGATCCTCCTGCCTCAGCCTCCCGAGTGCTGGGATTACAGGCGTGTGCCACCATGCCTGGCTCCAGAGTTTTTGATGGAGATGTTGTCCACTGTGTCCTCTTGGATAAAGTCCAGGAACCCTATTCATCATGGTGTTTTCAAGCATTAGCAGAGCATGTAGTAAATTTGGGGCATTTCAAGGGTATGGTGGTAGGTGAATGAAATAGAAATGACTTTCTCCCAGGGAAAACAAGAGAACAATAAATACAGAAAATGTTCAGTTTGGGTTGAAAGATGGAACCAACATGCTAAGGAGTAATGAGCATACGAGATAAAAATCCCAGTTAGATTAAAAAATATTCCTAGTTCGAAAAAGATCTTCCTTTGGTTTGTTCATACTGATTACGTTTTATGGCATAATTGGCCTCGGGTTTCCTGATGCTAGCATATGCATTAAATTATTAGCATTTAGCATCACATTTAAGAAATTCAACCCAATGGACTGCTCAGGAAGAAAACACAAGTCAGTGCTTGCTTCATTCAGTTTTCTATATATATGACCCAATGTAAGGAGCCAAATGGAATGTTTTTTTTTTTTTGTCCCGGGAATCTAGCTTGGGTCCTTGAGCTTGTGAGGCAGGCAGTGGCGCCACTGAGCTAAATCTCTGGCCCTCTTTTTTGTTTTTTTGAAGATTTTTTTTTTTTTTTTTTAATCAGGGATCAAATTTGGGACCTTGTGCTTGCGAGGCAGGTGGCGGCACCACTGAGCTAAATCTCTGGCCCTCTTTTTTTTTTTTTTTCCCGGGAATCTAGCTTGGGTCCTTGAGCTTGTGAGGCAGGCAGTGGCGCCACTGAGCTAAATCTCTGGCCCTCTTTTTTTTTTTTTTTCCCGGGAATCTAGCTTGGGTCCTTGAGCTTGTGAGGCAGGCAGTGGCGCCACTGAGCTAAATCTCTGGCCCTCTTTTTTTTTTTTTTTCCCGGGAATCTAGCTTGGGTCCTTGAGCTTGTGAGGCAGGCAGTGGCGCCACTGAGCTAAATCTCTGGCCCTCTTTTTTTTTTTTTTTCCCGGGAATCTAGCTTGGGTCCTTGAGCTTGTGAGGCAGGCAGTGGCGCCACTGAGCTAAATCTCTGGCCCTCTTTTTTTTTTTTTTTCCCGGGAATCTAGCTTGGGTCCTTGAGCTTGTGAGGCAGGCAGTGGCGCCACTGAGCTAAATCTCTGGCCCTCTTTTTTTTTTTTTTTCCCGGGAATCTAGCTTGGGTCCTTGAGCTTGTGAGGCAGGCAGTGGCGCCACTGAGCTAAATCTCTGGCCCTCTTTTTTTTTTTTTTTCCCGGGAATCTAGCTTGGGTCCTTGAGCTTGTGAGGCAGGCAGTGGCGCCACTGAGCTAAATCTCTGGCCCTCTTTTTTTTTTTTTTTCCCGGGAATCTAGCTTGGGTCCTTGAGCTTGTGAGGCAGGCAGTGGCGCCACTGAGCTAAATCTCTGGCCCTCTTTTTTTTTTTTTTTCCCGGGAATCTAGCTTGGGTCCTTGAGCTTGTGAGGCAGGCAGTGGCGCCACTGAGCTAAATCTCTGGCCCTCTTTTTTTTTTTTTTTCCCGGGAATCTAGCTTGGGTCCTTGAGCTTGTGAGGCAGGCAGTGGCGCCACTGAGCTAAATCTCTGGCCCTCTTTTTTTTTTTTTTTCCCGGGAATCTAGCTTGGGTCCTTGAGCTTGTGAGGCAGGCAGTGGCGCCACTGAGCTAAATCTCTGGCCCTCTTTTTTTTTTTTTTTCCCGGGAATCTAGCTTGGGTCCTTGAGCTTGTGAGGCAGGCAGTGGCGCCACTGAGCTAAATCTCTGGCCCTCTTTTTTTTTTTTTTTCCCGGGAATCTAGCTTGGGTCCTTGAGCTTGTGAGGCAGGCAGTGGCGCCACTGAGCTAAATCTCTGGCCCTCTTTTTTTTTTTTTTTCCCGGGAATCTAGCTTGGGTCCTTGAGCTTGTGAGGCAGGCAGTGGCGCCACTGAGCTAAATCTCTGGCCCTCTTTTTTTTTTTTTTTAAAATTTTTTTTTTTTTTTTTTAATCAGGGATCAAATTTGGGACCTTGTGCTTGCGAGGCAGGTGGCGGCACCACTGAGCTAAATCCCCAGCTAAATGGAATCTTCGCTCAGCTTTCTTCATCAGGTGTTCCAAATCTTTGCTGACACATTCAAGGAAACCAAAGTCAGTTTTCCACCCATCTCTTGAATTTGGAAAGTAAATGGTATAGAGAAGAATCTCACCTTTATATAAAAGTATGTCTGCAAAAATAAAAGGCCACCTAGGAACGGAGACGCTGAGTGGAGTGTTGAATATTCTGGAGGCAGCTTATTGTTTTCTCGGTTTAAAGAACAGTCCCGCATGTGGCACAGAACTTCGGTGAGCACAAAACAGTCTTGCTGCCACCTCCGGTGAGACAAAGGTTTAAAATGGAAGTACATACTCACTTGTAAGTGTAATAATAAAAAATAAAGGGAAGAGAGAATAGAGCTAGACTAGAGTCTCAATTCTACAGAGTCCACTAAACAACCACTCATCTACAGGCAGATTTGTAAGGTAAAACAAAACTATTTTGGACTGTGCCCACCTAGGTTTTTCCTTGTGAGTTTATTAACCCTTATTATCAAATGTGTTTGGGGGCAACCGTATTTTCAGGTAGAATCCTGCTATCTAGATCTCAGTACAGCCCGGTGCTTGCAAAATGTGCTGAGCTGAGAAGCCTTTGTCAGAAGGAAGCAGCATCACTGTGCTCCGCTCTAGCCCATCCCTCATTCAACAAAAGAGGACTGATGAGGTGTGGGTGTGAAGGGCCAGGGGAAGAGTGATTATTACCTGCTTGCTTTCTTGCCTTCTAACACTTGTTTTATTTATTTGACATTTGGCACAGAGGGACAAACCTCAGTGGTTTTTTTGTCCAGGATTTCACTATTGGTAGCCCATGTGACTGCAGGGAGTTAACCTGTTTGCCTGCTTCAGATTCTGTTCATTTGCTTGCCTCTAACAATTATTGCCATCTGCCGACAGCCTAATTGTTTCATCCTTTTGTCTAGAATTTATACACATACACTATTTGCCAGCTGTCCAATCTGAGAACAATTTCATGAAATGAAGGGAAGGGAAGGCGTATGCATACATCTCTTTTTGTCCTTGGGGGGAGGCATGCCATTTATTGTCCAGATAAATGACCAAATTAACATATCACTGCAGTCCAATGAAATAAATTTCATCTAGAACTGATCAAATTTAATAGTTCTGTTAATATTTGGCATGCAGAGAAAAGCAAAAAGAAAGATATGAAAAGAAATCCCTTCTGGAGCCATTTACATAATTACCAGTCATTTCTCCTCCTTCAATATTAATGCATTTCTGCATTTCTCTTACATGTACAATTCTTAGGTAGTAAACAGTTGTGAAAAATAAGATTAATCAGGTGAAGACTAGAATGGCAAACTAGACCTTATCATACACACACACACACACACACACAAATCCAGCCTTCAAGTAGGGCTTGGGCAACATTTTTAAAAACTTCCAGATCAAAGAGCAAGTTACAAGGTGATTTTTAGATAAATGTAAAACAGAACAGAGTGGGTCTGAATTTTTTATCATTAAAATAGAATATATTAAAGACTACTTTGTATTGTAACCTGTGAGTGAATGTAAGTGTTACAACTAAAAGGCCATTCACTTTGATTTTTAAAGGAATTAGTACCAAAAGCCCATCTACTTAGAATTAAGGTAATGTGTCAAGGAAAATGAATATAGTCTGGAAATATAAGAATGGCTCTTAGGATTACTCAGTGATTCTCTAGATACATCTATAAAAAAGAAGATGGAGCTGAATTTCCTCAGCTCTGGAGCTTTCTGTCCAGGGACTTTACACATCTGCCTTCCATCATTTAGGAAATCTCAGTTATAAGGTGGGCAGAAGAACTCTGAATTTGGTAAAGCAAATGTGAGTCGGGTACTGAAATCTACTGTGATCACTGCTGATTACCCTACACCACCTGGAAACACTGGCATAATTACCTCAAGAACCAATCACGAACATTGGGACCCGCAGGTGTAGGACTAAAGCTAAAATGCTTTAGGGAATACAAACCTTGCCTTTGTTATGAGTTTGTTAGACAGAATGTAATGTGACATGTAGTTTGGAAGGCTTCCATCCAGGTAGAAAAACACAGTCACACTAACAGGCTCTATTTGGAGGATGTTAGATTTCTTCCTATTCAGAGGTATTGGTATAGAGGGTATAGAGGGAAAGAGTAAAGCATTTAAAAGTAAACAGTTTTATACTTATGGTTGTTTAAAATCCTTCCTCGGCTCATGACTTAATACCAAAATTATTTATTTTTCTTCTAATCTCTTTTCTATTTGCATATTTTATCATTGATTAACTAGTATCACCAATAGTCGTTATATTAATGAAACTTACATTTAACTCCAAAAGGTATCTAAAGTTCTGTTATGGTTATCTCTATGAAAGTTCTTTAATAGAAATATTTTTAAACAGAGAACACTATGGTTCTCTATTTAAAAAGACTTGTGCTTCTGGGCACGATGCACTAAGAGGAACAGGACTTAAACCCCTAATACACAATGAAAAGCACACGAAACAAAGTTATATGGACACTGGACGACAGGAAGCACAGAACAGGGGTCCCTGAAAGAGGGAAAATAAGGAAGGTGAGCTCTAAGATGGTCCCAGCTTACAGAGAGTTTCCAAGCTGCAGTGCAGAGAGAGAAAAGCCAAACAGGGCACAGCCATCTCCCTGAGTCGAGGAGGCAGGGTTGAGAATTCAGGGAAGCCAAGTTGTGTAAAATTCATAGAAGAGCATAGTGGCAAGGAAAGAACTGTACGGACACAAGGGAGTCATCTGGAAAGAAATCCTTCAGTAGTTTTTCTTCAAGTCTTTAGCTGATTCCCGCTTAATGCATGCATATGAATAAACTACTGGAGGCTATGAGGTAAAAACATTAGAAATAAGCAGGTTGTTATCAGAAATAATACTCCTTGAAGTTCACAGTGGGCTAGAAATTATTGCTTCCCACCATTTGGAGTGGACAAATTTCATAATACGTGGAACATCACATAAAGTACTCAGAAGGTATTATTTCAATAGTAAGAAACAAAATGAACTCTAGACTAATTAAAGTCAAGGATTAACGTAGATTTAAGTAACCTAACTGTCCCAGACAAAATTGAAGACCATTGAAATGTATAGAAATACACATTACACAACAGGGAAAAATTTACAATGCCTGGCATTTAAAAAGCAGCCTGTGAAAGTCAGAAAATATGACGCATTGAAGATTAAAAATTCAGTAGAAACAGAACAAGACATAACAATTATTACAATTGTATTTTATATGTTCAAGAAGGTGAAAGAAAGAAGAGATGGAAAAGATGCAGATAAAATTTACAGACATGAAAATTATAGAGAAAATATATACACTGGATGGGGTTAAGAGGACATAAAATATATAAGGGAGAGAGATATTAGTAAACTAAAGATATAGCAATACATATACAAAATGAAACAAGAGAAAAATGAAACATAGAGGAAATAAATAAATAGAGCGTGAGTAAATTCAGAGACAAGTTCAAATGACCATATATACATGGATTTGGTATCCTCAAAAACAGAGCTGGGTGGATACCAAAGATACGTTTGAAGAAATGAATGCCAGAAGCTTTACACTTTTGACACAAAGTTTAAACCCCCAGGTCCAATAAATTCAACAAACCTCAAGTGCAAGAAACTACAATTACATGACAATTAAGCTGCTTAAAGTCAGTGATAAAGAGAAATCGCATCCAGAGGAAAAAATAAAGACGTATTACACAGAGGAACAAAAAGAGTGACAATAGATTTTGTTGGAAATGGTGCAGTCAAGAAGAGAGTGAAAAACCATCTCTAAAAGAAAAACCAACCTATAATTCTATACAAAAATAAAAATGAAGGAATCTTTCTGACATATAGAAGCTGAAAGAATTCATCAACAAACATGTGCTATATGAAATATTTCAGGAAGAACGAATGCGACACCAGATATAACTCTTAATCCATACAATGGAAGGAAGAACGCCAGAAATGGTAAAAAATGTAGGAAAATATGCATCATTTCCCATTATTTTTCAAGCCATTTTAAAGATAACTGCTACTTACACAAATCAGTTAAAAGTAAGAGAATAGAAAAAGATATGCCATGCTAACCACCACTCAAAACTGAACAGTAGTAGCTATATTAATATGAGAAAAAGTAAATTTCAGAGAAAAGAATATCGTGAGCCATAAAGCGTGTCACTGAGTAACAGTGATGTGATTCATTAAGATGAAACAAGGGAGGGCCGGGGATTTGGCTCAGTGGTTCTGGCACCTGCCTTGCAAGAACAAGGACCTGAGTTTTATCACTGGTACCAAAAAAACTTCAAAAAACAAACAAACAAAAAAACCCAAAAGATGAAACAGGGGCTGGAGATTTAACTCAGTGGTTCTGCTGCCTGCCTAGCAAGTGCAAGGACCCAAGTTCAATCCCCAGTCCAAAAAAAAAGATGAAACAAAAATCTAAGATGTCTATGAACCTCATGACACATTTGTAAAATACCATGAACAAAATAATAGATCTTAAAGGGAAAAAAAAAATAGGCAAACAAAAAAGATTTCTTTGTCAGTAAGTTTAGCTTAAAACAAAATTTGGGGTATGGTGGTTTAATTTAATTACATTCCTGAAAATTTGATTTCTAGGCAAATAATCTAGTCAATAAAAAGTCATTGTCATGAGTTGTACTACCTTCTCATTAGCTGCCAGATCAAGGCCAACGTTAGCGTGCGGTTTCCTTCATTGAGATCTTGTCCACCAATGCCAACTAGGGAAAACTTAGCTTGATTCTTCCCCAGTTCCACTGCATAATTGCAATTCTCAAGCTATTGAAGAGTAAGAAGGAAAATAATTTAATGTCATCACTGTGCGTATGATAAGCATCAAATAAATTACCAAAAATTGAAGATAATACAGAAAAAAAAATAAAGTCAGATTGAATGATTCTCAAGTCTCAACTGGTTCTGCAATTCTGGAATTCTAAATTAGTTAAAGGATTTTCCATGTTTCCTTAAATCGAATTCCTTAATTCTGTCCAAAATAGTTACAGTACACTCTTAAGTGCAAAACTAGAATGGATCCATTATTATGAATATTTTTGCAGATATACACATTATATAAATAGTTGCCTATCTGTAACATTTCTAAAAGAGCTGACTTCATGGAGATGGGCATGGAAAATTTGGATTCTCCAGCTCACACACACATAGTGGATGAACATGTAGGTCAGACATTCCTGTGGCTATTCATGGATCATTAAGGGTCACACAGATGAGATACAGAACCGGCTGTGCCAACCCTGTTGTTGTAAAACAATGTTCCCACTGTGTTAACAATAGGCAAACTTTGTACCATCAAGCTGTCAGTACAAAGCTTCGATTCTTTAGAAAATTAGAATGAGGATCCTGCTGGGGAGGGGTGGGCCAGAGGAGGGGCACCCTGTGGCTCTGCTTGCTCTAATTATCTCAATTAGAATTTTTACATGGTAATGTTTAAAGACATCCAACACAGAATTAAAATAAGAAATAGTGGACTCACTTTGATAAACTATTCAGGCTTCTGGACTGTTGTACTATAATTTAATCTCTGGATAAACACTGCTTCTCTACGTTTAACTGCCTGATAAAGTACTCACAAAAGCTCTTGCAGTCTTATGACTTCACCTTCCTCTTAGGATAACAAAATAGTCCTTGTTTATTTACCTTCTTCATATTGCCCCCCAGTTTGGGGTATGGCGGTTTGTTTACTCTATTCCAGTCAACAGGGACTTTAATCTTTTCATAGAGCTGGAAGATGACCAGGGCATCTGATAAATCACTGAATAAAACAAACAAAAGAATGTTCAGATATCCAATATTTTATTCAGGGCCTACAGTGGGCCAGCCACTTCCTCATATATTAGCTCTGACAATAATCACAACAACCCTGAAAAACTGATAGGAGTTGTTCCATCCTTAGAGAAGAAGAGATGCAATGGAGAGAAACTGGGGAATTTACTTTCCCAAGGTGTGATGAGCTGACTCCAGGAAAAGAAAACATGGTTTTCACAAACAGTATAGGGGACACTTAACTGCAAATTTAAAACTCATTTTTTGCCGGCTAGTAAGATTATAGGCTTAGCACATACAGTAAATTTGTCATTTTCCTGAGGTATTACTTTTGTTTTTTGTTTGTTTTTGAGACAGGGTCTCACTGTATAGTTGAGACTGACCTGGAATTCACTATGTAGCCCAGGCTGGTCGTGAACTCACAGCGATCCTCCTGCCTCAGCCTCCCTAGTGCGGGGATTACAGGCGTGCGCCACCACGCCCGGCTTGAGGTGATACTTTTGAATTAAACAGCGAGGTTGCTACATGGAAAGAAGCTTCCCAGGCGAACATCTGACACCTTTAGCCCTCATCAAGGGACACACATTTTGGGAGAAGGATGCATACCATTGGAGTATTTGAAATTCTGTGATCTTCCAGGTTTCTGTGTCTCACACCAGGGCGAATTTCAGACTGTTCTTACCTGTACAAATGATTCACTCGAGGGTTAACGCCCAGCGAATTCATCCAGTTCCTGAATGTCCGTTCTTCCCTGGTCTCACCTAGTTTAATGAAGACTGGTTATCTTTCAGATTTGTACAAAACAGGCCATTTTTATTACCTAATTTTAACACAAAAGGCTGCAAAAAAAACTGAAGGTAAAATGAAAATAATAAAACAGACCCTACTGGGACTGGGGATTTAGGTTAGTGGTTCTGCCGCCTGCCTTGCAAGTGCAAGGTGCTGAGTTCAGTCCCTGGTACCCAAAACAGACAGACAAACAAACAAACAAACAACAGACCCTACTGGACGTGAATGAGGGTCGCTATGCTGTACTAATCTTCCTTGCCTCATTTTAATTCAACAAGTATTTCTGTAGCTCTTACTAGTGTATGAAAGACCCTTTACAGAGATTAGAGTTGGCTGCAAAGACTGATATTCTTGATGGAAAAACAACTCTTGAGCACCAGACAGAGATCACAGAACCTAGAAACACAGTTAAGAGGAGGCAGATATACTTGCTACTCAAGTTGAAGAAAGGAAAGAATAGTATGGTCTAAATTTGGAGAGATGGCATTTGAGTTTCACTTTAAGGGATAATTAAAGCTAGATATTAATGAGAAAAGAGTAGGGGGGTTGGTGTAAATATAAACACAGAGGGAGCAACAGGCAAGTCTCTACTAAGAACCCCAGGAACTGATGAAGTGGAAACTACAACACAGTGTACAGAGATGAGGCTGTCTAGAGGCTGGAACCAGGATTGGGGATTTTTGAATGCTGGTAGCAAGTTTGGCTTGATTTATTAGACAATGTTCATCATCATGGGTTCTTTTTTTATTACTACAGTAAATTCTTGAGCAAGGCAGATATATAATAAAAACCCCATTGGGATGTGCCTGGCAGCAGTGTGCAGAATTACTGAAAGGCAATAGGCATTTAAATTAAACATGCAGAGGCAATGGTGTTTGGAACTGGCATGTGGAAAACATTCAAGTGTTTGATAAATGAAGAATAGGCCTCTAAGACCTATTAAAATAATTGGTGTAGGAGGTAATATGAATCCAGAAGAGCAGAAAAAGGGAAAATGACAATCTAGAAGACATTCTAAATGAAGAAGTATCAATATTTGTTGATTTAATAGATTAAAGGGTGAAGGAGAAAGAATAGAACCCAAGATTTTCAGTTCTTTTTGTTTTTTTAAGTAGGAAAAATTATTGAGGGGAAGAAAGCTTCTACCCACCCCACTTTTCAAAGATGTTTTAATACAACCAAGCCATGTGGTGAGGTAGGTACAAGGCCCCCCGCCCCCCGGGACCAGGGGTTGAACACAGGACCTCATGCTTTCGAAGCAGGCAGTGGAAACACTGAGCTAAACATCCGGCTAAGGTCTTCAGTTTTGATGACTATAGAAAAACAAATGTTATTAATGGAAATGGAGGATTTCTAAAGGGGAGCAGATGCAATGGGAGTTAGGACAGAAAAGCAACGAGGGGGACGGGAGACAGCTAAGACCCCAAACTTCAGTGTCGCAAAGGGCAGCTGGAAATGGTGATGAGTGGTCTTGGTACATACATTTGAGATCAACAAAATACACAGAGTTCTGACCATGGTTTGTCAAATGGTGCAACTGCAGCAGTGTTGGACAGGTTGATATTGCATTTCTAGCTAGAGTAATGTATTTTGGAAAAGAATCAACCAGTATTTAAACCTAGTCCTTGCTTTTGTGAAATTCATTTAGTATAAATTTTGACATTTTTTTCAATTAGTATATGAGGAAAAAGCTAAGTAAACATTTCTGGCACTTTTGGCCGGAACAAACTGACTACAGCTATATGCTCTTTGTCCAATCTTAGAATATTAATCCACAAAATATAATAACTGCCAGGATTCTGCCTCAGAATATTGTCCTGTGTCTCTAAGAATCCAAATGAAAGAAACAAGACAAAAAGGAAAACCTCAGTAAGCATATTCTAGTATAAATTAAATATCTTTATTTAGTGAATTGGGGCCATTTTTTTTGCCTCTAGAAATTAACAGAGTCTATTAAGTACATAAACTAGGGCTTTAGAGCTCAGGATTTATTTCATCCAATAATTAAATATTCTGTCTTCTCTAAAACATTTAAATTATGATAATGGATAAAGCCTATGTATATGACATAATTGTATTTGATTATTCTTGCTTGGTTGTAACTGACTTGACTAATTTATTTCTCTTCGTTGAGTATCAGATAATTGATGGGCCTGTTTCTACATGTGAGGGTTTTGCCTTAGCTCAGGAGGAGATTTTGAGTGGCCATTGGGTTAGAGTTGTGAGTACTTTTCCAAACATCTTAAGCAACTGGTTTGCTGTTACCTTCGAGCGACCCCCAGTCGATGTCCTGGTTCTCTGGTTTGTGCAGGGCAGGGTATTTGTTAAAGAGGTTGGCAATGAAAGCCAGGTTCAGCTTGGGGTTCCCGCGTACTACATCTGTGGCTGTGACAAACTGTCGGCAGCCCAGCCTCTCTGCCTGCTGCAACATGCATTCTGCCCTCTGGATGTCATCTTTCTCCTGCAATGGAAACAGATGTGTCAAAGCTGGGCCAAGGTTTCACTCACAACATGGAAATCGTGTGAAAAGGAAAAGGGAAAGGAAACTCTCACTTATACCCTTGGGGTTTATCTCAGGTAGACATTTAATAACAGCACATAAGAACTTATGTGCAGTTGCACAAAAACTGGATGGTCACAAGTAAGAGGAATCTCAGAAGTCAGGTAATTGAGACTTCTCATCTCTATGCAGAACCATTTCAGATGAAGGGTTGGTTGGCTGGTTGTCTTGTTTTTAAATAAATTCAGTAAATTTCATTTACACTGATCTTAATTATTTTAGCCATCAAGCTTCCTTTTTATTATTTTCCTGCACAGACCTCATGGTTTATTGTCTATCAAAAAGTTTAACAATTTATATCCCTATTTCTAATTCAGAAAAAAATACAAACTTTAATAAGAACTGTCAATATCTAATTAGTATAAACACTTTTCCTATTCTGCGCCAGTATACTTGCAAGGCAGACAAAATAAACATCAGTCAGTTAACCTATGTATTGTTGCTGATATATAATATCACTTTGGCTTTTTTTTTGGGGGGTGAGGGGATACCAGGGATCAAACTTGGATCCTTGTGCTTGCGAGTCTGGTGGCGGAACCACTGAGCTAAATCCCCAGCCTCAATTTGGCTTTTTCGGACTTCAGATTGAGAATCATTCCACATATTCTATTGATTCCAGAGAATCTCCAGTCATTTGTAAGCAGATTCTTATAAGAAGACTAAAATTTTGTTGAAATACGGCCCACTGTTTATAAGATCCAAAAAACCACAATGTTCAGAAAATAGAATTTTAAACTAGAATTATTTCTTAAATTGATGCTTTACTAGGTAATACTATACACTATACATTTGATGACCCTTACTTCTCATTTATTAACTTCAATATTACATCCTTGGATTTAATTCCAATGATGTTAAATAAATGAAGCACAAAAACTGACAAGGCAAATTCTCAAGATCAATATCAAATACCGTGGCAAAACTGAAAAACATGCTCTTGATTTGACCATTACCCAATGGATACACGTATCAAAATGTTACACTGTACTCAAACATTTGCCTATTTATATCAATTAAAAATAACAAATCAAATTTTTAAAAAATGTGAAGTTTTAGTATTCAGATCTGGTCGGCGTTGAAATGATGGGCATATAAGTGCCTAGCACGTCAGATGGCACTGAATTAGCATTTGTTTCCAGATTCACTTTTCCACAATTATCATAATAACTATCAAAGGATCTAAAAAAGTTTCACCAGGATTTAAGCGGAACTCCAGAGTAGGGTCATACAGAACAATGTAACAACTCACATAAGAGCAGCATCCTGTTCTCTAACCACACCCTGGGAGGTGTCCTTACCCTTAGTCCTGACATGTCAATAACCACAGCGGGGATACCTTCTTCATCTCCTTTAGGAGCCACCTGCTCCAGCAGGTGGTAATAAGCTTTTGAGTCCTGTGAAAAATTAAGAAGTGACAATTGCAAAACAGCATGGCTAATTATGTACTTAACATGACAATAATTTCCCCAAAACAAATGTTTAATTTCTTATTCCACTGTCATTTAGGAATGCAACTTAATTATCAAAGCTAGAAGCATTCACTAATTTGTATGCTCTAGTTTTTTAGTTGCATACTTTATATGCTTTTTTTTTAAAAAGAGTTAACAACTGAAAATACAAGACACATAAAAGGCAACCCAAAGAAGCAGATATTATTGTATTGTCCTTATGGGAGAAAAGCAACTGACGTATTTAATTGTATACAGGAAAATATATATACCTTTATATTGCTGTAGAAGTCAGTCAGCTAAGGTTTAATTTAAAAAAAAGTGACAGAAAAAGGAAGCAGAAGTTTAAAGCAGAGTTTAAAAACACATTTAAATGCACAATCAGCAAAAGAAAAATAAAGACTTCAAAGACCAGAGGCTGAAGCTTTAACAAGTAGTCCTTCCGTAAATGGAAAAATACCACAAAGACAGGTATATTTAATGTTCCTCTAGAAACTAGCGACTTGTTTAAGTTTGGTTGTAACAGATTGGATACAGGTACCGTGGCCTCACACTTTCTTACATTCTGTGTGATTTAAAGAGCACTCCAAGGCCCTGGCTGCTCAAATACACATTACAGCACATTCCTCCGCTGCTCCGTGAGGACAGGCGCAGTCGCTGTGCAAGTGCCCAGCTTGCCTGGTCCTGTCTCAGACAGACACTGTACTTCTTAATGTCCAAAATGGCTAATTAATAAAGGAACACAGGCTTTCAGTGATAGAAAGGCAGGTAAATGGACAGCTACGATCATGTACCCTAATCCTGGCTGAAAAGTTTTACAGCAATTGCAGAAAGTAAGTGCTGAGCACAAAGGGAGATGCGGTCCAGCCCCCGAGAAACCCTGCTTTGGTTGGTGCTGCTAGAAGAATGTTTGGTAAGCAATGAAAGTTGTATGGCCAAAAAATGGATTTAGCTTAGATCATAAGGAACAGACACACTTTTCTCTTAGAAGCTTTCCTCCAACTGTCACTGTGCCTGGAGTACCTGAGCTGTAGACACCAGTGAGTCTACCTTGTTCAGCAGCAGGAAGCTGTTACCCAAAGGAGGATTCATGGCAGGTCACATGATCCTTCCTCTGCCTTTCTCTCTTTGGAGGAGGTTTCCATTAACTTTTGAGAAAGAAGAGCCTGAAATATTTCCCTCAGGTTGCGTTCCAGCATCACATGCAGGCTCCTATGGAGACTGCTTTTGGGCTCTCCTGAACTGCTCCTTCAGCTTTCTGTGTTGGTCCACCTGTTACCAACGCCAAGAGCTGTTTCCTCTCACTTTGGCGTGGAATCTGTCTCAAACATGAAGACCACAGCTTGTTCCCTTGTGGAACTCTTTACTTCAGTTTCTTCGTAAAACGGGAGAATAATAATCCTTACATCAGAGCGTCTTGTGTGGATTACACGAATCAGTGCATGTCTACTACAATCAAATCAATTCACGGCAAGTAGACACTGTGGTTGCAACTATTAGTGTAATGACAGGAGTCATTCTCATTCAATTTTTTTAAAAAGAATCCCCATCCCCATCAGATGCTCCCCTTTAAGCAGTCTTGTCTTTTGCTATTGCTGTGTCTCACCCTGATAATCAAACCTAAAGCCAGACTCCTCCCTTTGATGCTGCACTAAGACCCTGGGCAGATAGTGTGTGTGACCCAGAACTAGAGCTGCAGATGAACCCCTGAGGACAGCAAGCAGCTCCAAAACAGGACCACACTAACCACAGACCTTCTGAAGATGCAAAGCTCAGTACCTGTGTTTACTCTGACACCAAATCCCCCTTTCCTGCCAATTAGTAATGTGCAAACTACACTCCTCCTACCTTGATGTCGGTGCTGAAGTTGCTGATTTTGTTGCAGCCTGAATTTTCCAAGTGGTAATTAGCCCACCTCAGCAGGAGCTCTTCCGGTGAGAGCTTCATCAGATCCTCCAGGCTTTCTCCTTCTCTCAAAAGAGCAATCAGAGCTGAAGAAGCACAAAAAACGAACCAAAATAAATTCAGGGATGTTTAGGGGGGTTTGTCTTAACTTTCATAGTTTGGTTGGAAAGCAAAAGACAGCAACATTGTCTCTCTGGAGGCAAGTGTGCTTATAACCTTCCCCACAGAACAACTCCAGTGTTATTTCCTAAAAGAAGCTTGCACTATTGCGAGCTCATTTACTATCTCCAATTGTTTTTGGGAGGTACCGGGTATCAAACTTGGGTCTTTGCACTTGCAAGGCAGGTGGCAGAACCACTGAGCTAAATCTCCAGCTCTATCCCCATTTTTTAGATGGAGAAGACAAGACACCAATGAATCTCAATACTGTGCTTAAGGGCACCATGGCATGGTCAAGAAAATAACCTAATCTATTTGCTCAGAATGCTCTGCTGGGTCAGGGAAACCACATTTTTTGACTTGACAACACTTTTGCTTTTAAGAGATCAATTTTGTAATAATGGCAGTGTTTTCTTGGCTCATCTCACAGGTGTTTTATATTTCAAATCCTTATCTGCTTATAATTATAGCAACTAAATGCTGTAATCAATTCTCCTGTTTCCCCAGATGAATATTTTTTGCTCAGTTAGAAGGTTTAAACTTAGCTAATCTGAATTTGCAAATCAATATTCTCTTTCATGGGTTTTAAGATCTATTTGCTTTTTTCTTACATTATGATTAATATGTTGGTTTTATAGTGAATTCTCAGGTTTCTTCCTTGTCTATTGTGATTTGAACATGTAAATACAAATATGTATAACTTAAAATTAAGATTTGATTATAGATTTCATTTTGGTAGGATTTAAATCCAAAAAGTAAAAGATAATACTGTGTGTGGTTTCTATGGGGCTTATTAAGGTCTATCTACTACCTCTTTTTAAGCAACTGTGGTGCACCTATTTAAATGTGGATAGGACAGTGAGAGAAGACAAAGGTTGGCAGCTCCATATTTAGTTCAGAATTTCAATGTGCCTTAATGTAATTTTCTACAGTCTTTTTCTAATTTTTATACCCACTGTATATATTTAACATATGTAACATGGAGTGTTCATATACTTATTGTGATATACAGTGATATGATTGCTGTAGTAAAGCAAAGTAATGTCCCATCATCCCATCACTTTTGTTCCCTTTTCTTTTGGTGGTAAGAGTACCTAAGTAGCTACTTTTTTGGAAAATTATCAACATATAATTAACTATACTAAATATCATGTATGTTATCTCTCTAGATTTATCTCACATAAGTGCAATTTTGTACCCTCTGATCCACATCTTCCTCTACAGTCGTCATGAGAAACAGACCAAGTTTCTCCTAATCTGGTGCATGTACTGAACTGTATGAATGTGACTTGCCTGTCTCTCTCACTAGCCGAAAGGCAAAGTGAGCTCTAAAAGCAATCTCTCAAGGCTGAAGTGCCAGGCAGACTGCTATATGCTTTCACCAAGCATTATTATTAGTCTGTGGTCTTAAAAAGCTTTTGCTCTGTCATTTTGAAAAGTCTGGTTAGTGTGGATAGAATCCGTTAGATTAATATCATGAATTCAATATAACTGTGCAGTTGTCCAAATTTGAGATTTCCTGACATCTTTCTCCTCCGGTCCCCAGCACAGGCATTAATAGGAAGATTTGCCATGCACAGCATTTGAGACTTTGCTCTTACCTTCATTTCTGCTTAGCTCAATGTCAGCAAACAACCCAATCTTGATGACTTGCCACAACAGTCCCAAGACCAGATATGGCTTCCCTTCCTTCAGGTCCTCAGCCCCTATGTTAACAACATGGCACCCAATGGCCGAGGCAGAGTTCAGAGCCAAGTTCAAATTTTCCTGAGGGAGGAAAGTGTGTAAGTTTGGTTCTGTCACTTTGCAGATGCCAGATGATGACTACTAATTGGATACAGCAATGTTTTCCTTTCAGAATGTTTATATGCCTAAGACATGGGCTTCATTAGCTTTAACACTGAGGAAAAACAGTAAAAAGTACCACAATAAGAGAAAATCTAGTAGCTAAGGCATGGAGTTTACACAGTGACTATGTAGTCAAATCAGTACTCTAAATGGAAAGCCCTTCTTGGTCAGCAGGAAATCAATGAATCATTTCTTTGTTCATTTGGCTTTGTGAAGAATACTACACATGGAACATCTCCTAATTTTGGCTAATGCCAGAAAGAAAGGGGCACCTTTGAGGGAAGTCACTGTCCTATCGCTGGGTATCTTTAATAAGATATAAATTGAGGTTATGAAAGATCAACATAATAGCTTTTGACTTGCAGATTGGGTATTACAGGAATGGAAAGGATAAAAACCAAATTCCTGGAAAAGATGGAGGAGTTTTCAATAGGACAACTTAGTGAATATCCATTACACCTAGGAAACTTGAGTACACACACACACACACACACACACACACACACAGATTATAGGTTCCTATGACTAACAACAGTGTGTGTTTGTAGCACACACAGTTGGAATAGAGTTAATAAAGTTTTCAACCTAGAGTCTATATACTATCTTTAGACCCATAAAGAAGAAGATATCTCTGTCAGAGATGTATTGAATTTTTTATGATAAAAATAAAACAAAGGCCATCAGAATTGATGATTCTTACCACCCTACTATTCAAATGGTGAATGAAAAAAAGTGCTGTTTCTACTTATGGTCAACATGATGGGTAAATTTAACATTAACTTCTTCTCTGTTTGTTTAATCACTGTTCTCAGTTTGGTTACTACTTCCATTTAAAAAATATAGAGGGTCACTTAAACTGAAACAGCAGATACAGATCTGTTCGGGATTTAGGAAGATATGGTTTTTGAGCAAGAGAATTACAATCCTAAAATACTGGAACATAAGATATATGTACAGCTTACTTTCTGCTGATTTTTCTTCCAGTTAATCAGCAAATTGCAGGAAAAAAGCAAGTTATATTTATTACATTTGTGGCTATGGCCAGCATAGCTGTGCAGGCTGCCAGAGAACTTCCTGGTTTTTACCCCCTCACTTCTTAGAAAGGCTCATATTTTCAGCTAAATGTTGTGTATTTGGCATCAACTCAACAATAAATTGTTAGGGAGAGTTTGAGTCAAAACTTCAGCCAGTATGAATTTCATTCCTAAATGACCAGTGGACTACTAACACACCACCCTCCTCCTCTCTTGCCTGCTATGTTAGTAAAAGACAGTACAGAGACATGTCCTTTCACCCCCTCTAGTTATAAGAAGTTACCAGCCCAAAGCCTGTGTCAGGGAATGCCTGAACTCCTGCAGAAAGCTGGCTCAGCAGTGATGGTATTCCTTGCTTCCAAGACAATTCTACACTAAGATAATGGTGGGGAGACATACCTGAATAGTGAAAGGGGTGAGTTTCTTTTTGTTGATTGTTCTTTCATCAATTGTGTCTGGCACTGACAGGTTGATCATCTTACTGAAGTGAAAGTAAACATGATTCTGAGTAACAAAGCCCATATTACTGAGTTCAAATTCTAGCAACATTATAATTGAACACATCAGCAACATAATCTGTGTAGTTAGCATTTACACATTCAAACTATCTGTAAGAAAAGTGAATTATTTCTGAAGCCATAGTAATACATCAAGGTAAGAAATGGGGATACCACTTCATTCACTCACCTAAAAAGCTGCAAAAGTATCCTTGTTCCCTTAACACATTAGGAAATTCTAGGTGGACAAGCAAAGTGAATCCCCTATGAATACTTCTAATTTCCTTACCATGAAAACTGTACCCACTATGTATAAAAGACTGTTGATACACTTCTGAGCTTCTATAATACCTACCTTTCGATTTGATACCTGATCAGTATTTTAACTTATTATCCCTTTGTTTTTTCATATCCTTCTCTAGTCATTATTCAATCAGAGCTTTAGCAGTTGCTCCATTTAAGTATCTAATACACTGATCAGATATCTAAAGCAACCAATTATTTATGGAAAACTGATTTTACCCAAGTTTCTAAAACAGGGCCTAGAAAATAAATTGCCTTAGGTTACCTCCATCTTATTTAAAGAAACAAATAACCAAAAGCAATAACAGAAGATAAAAAATGGTGAATATGACTATTCCCATTTAATGAGAAGAGAAATAGGCATTAAAAGCTTTTCCTAACAATTGTTAAGCAACTATCATTTTGTGGGTGATTGATTTTTTAAAATATAGTTCCATAA